TGCTGATGTGTTTGTCTCTTACTAAAATCCCAAACCGAAATTGTACTTCAAAACTGAAAGAGCTCGGCAGAGAGCAAGCATGTAGGGTGATTGTGATAAGGTACAACATATAGCCTAAAGGAAAACCGAAGGGAAGTGCTCAGGGTCAGATATACTGCATGTTTCCCCTGTAGAGAAGGAAAAAGGATGGGAAGGAAGTGGGAGGGACACAGAGACATTTTAGCAGGTTCACTGTCCTATTTCTTTTTCCCTTGCATCCATAGTGCAACCTATTTCCCCCCGCAGAAACATCCCACTGGACCCTTAACGCCATCTCTAAGCGCATATCCTTCGTTTGCGCATTCCTGTATTAACTACCGTCCCAAAGCCCGTACTGGGCATAGATATCCATAATAAAGGCTAGATGTCTTACGGCGGAGTCTCAGACGTCCTCACCGGCGGCCATCTTACCTCAGGCAGGCTTTCTGTTGTGCTCTGTGGTACCTAACGTAAGGTGAGTGATCAGCACGAACACAAATACTCTTACCTCACTGAATTCTTGACGGATTTACAAACAGTTTGGTTTCTTACAAACATTATGAACGTGGCTATTATTATTTATGCTTGAACATGTCGAAATTGCAGATTTTCTTGTCGAAAAATGACTTAATCGCGCAGCATAGTTGTGCATCACGGCTACTTGCGCAAGTTATCAAGGCTGAGACTATCAGTCAATTATATAGGTTTTACTGACACCAATAACGATTGTATGACAATTAATCTTTGGTGTAAATTACAATCTTTGTGGATGTGGTTGTAGTTATTAGTTGGCTAATAACAATAATCTGAGTGTTGTTGTATTTTCATTATTAGCCTAACGTTAGCTGGCTAATAACAAGAAGCTGCAAAGTGAGACCTAACGTTAGTAAGTTAGCAGCTAACGTTACAGTTTAGCTAGCTGCTAACGTTAACCAGCAACTTTACATCAGTGGAAGAGGCAGAATTTAACATGATTTCCAATCGATTTGGTTTGTCAACACATCTTACATTATGTTACAGGAATTTGCTGGGTTTATTAAAAGGAAGATGCCAGACTTTTGCTATGACATAATAGTATTACAAGATTGTTGTTGACTCAAAGCTTTTATAAGTTTGTATTACTTTCATTTGGACAACTTAAAGATGGTGTTTTGCCAAACATTTTCAACTTTCCAGCTCATCTTCAAAGGGCATGTGTATCATTGAAATTTAATCACATATTGATATACCAATCTTATACACCGTGAATTGTTGTTGGTCACTTTTGTTTTTGTTTCTGCAGGTTATATAACGTGTAAGCAGGAGGAGAAGATCTTCCATCCCCGTTTGCTGACATTCCTGCTCTAGTACATGACCACAGCTACCTTCCTGTCCGCTTTGATGGCCTTGTGGACAACGGTCTCTTGTACATTATACAGAAGCTCAATAAAACCTTCCTTTTCAAAGGGCATTAGCCAAGCTATGTTTTTTGGGTCATTTTTTAAATCTCTGTCTTCCATGTGTATACCATCACAGTAGTGTAGGTGGGGATTTCAACATGCTTCATCTATATATACTTGTGAAGGGGACTATTGCACCAATTTTAATAGCAAATAAATGTCACTTTTATAATGGTTTAAAAATAGGAACTTTTGTGTAATTACCCCTGATATATAATCCGAATAGTCTACATGAAACTTCAAAGTGTTACCTTTAATTTGAAACCTGGATTATGCTTCTACACCAAGAGGTTGCCACACAATAAGCCTTTTTTGTCAGTATTTCATATTTTATTATAACAATAATATTCATATTATAAAAGTATGTATGTAAATATAAATAAATTAGGACTGTGAAATAATTAATCACACCCAAATAAAAGTGTTTATTTATATATATATATATATATATATATATGTGTGTATATATATATATATATATATATATATATATATATATATACATATTTATATATATATATATACATATTTATATATATATATATATATATATATATATATACATATTTATATATATATATATATACATATGTATATATATATATATATACATATGTATATATATATATACATATGTATATATATATATATACATATGTATATATATATATACATATGTATATATATATATACATATGTATATATATATATACATATGTATATATATATATACATATGTATATATATATATATATATATATATATATATAGGTATCTATATCTATATAGATAGATATCTATATAGATATCTATAGATATATCTATATATCATGTTGCCATTCAGTACACTGAGTTTTATAAGCATATATTGATTTAACATAAATACCTTGTGCATGTGTATATTTATTGCACCTGTATGTTCTATTCAATGTTCTTTTCATATGAAATTCCATGGTTATAATTATTCATAAGTGTGCAGTGTCATAACTACATGTCTGACTTTTGTTTAACAAACCAAACAGTTAGACAATTGAGGAAGTTATGGTTATTTAAGTACATGCGCCTTTAAAACACAATGTTACGAATGAGCGAGCTGCCTGTGGCAAGATGGCCGCCACGTGCGGACGTCGACCCCCATTGGCCAGCAGCGCGGCCGAGACATCTAGCCTTTATTATGGATATCTATGGTACTGGGTAGGGCGAGTGTCAGCTGAAAGTGGGTGTAACGGCGAAACACTGGCGGAGGAAACACGTGCATCAAAATGTAAGTTCCGCTGGTTTGCTGCATCTTCGTCACACTGACAGAAAATCACAAGTTAGGTTTAAAATCACGCAGTTAATTCCAAATAGAAGATCCTGTTTGAAATATATATATATTTTTTGAGCGTATACATTTGCTTTCAGAAAAAGGGCAAATGTTTTATTTGAGAAAAGAAATAAAACATTTGCCATATTTTTGTAGAAAAACGAAAATAAAAAACCTGAAAAGATGCTGAATGTTGAAAAAACTCTAAATCATGTCACAGTCCCTGCATCAAACTGAACATATCAATGCGTCTTTTGCACTATTTTTTTTTTTCTCTCCCAATGTTTACATTCGTACAAATAAATCACTGCTGCACTTTAAGAAACTGAATTGTAATTTCGTTTTGTATACATTCTTTCTATACAAAATGACAATTAAGTTTGTCTAAGTCTAAATAGTCTTATTTCATGTCAACCTGCGGCATAGAGCTACGCCCTGCAGATCCATTTTCACTGTGTTGCCTAGCAACACGGTGAAAATGGAAGAAATCATCCAATTCTCGTTCACTCCCCACCACCACTTTCAATGTAGGCGCCCTCCACAGCTGTTTGACTACATTTGGAGTGACATTCGATAGTTAAGGGGCAGTGCTTAGGGGGCCAGTGTATGGTAGCATTCAGATGAGATCTGTGTGCAGAAGGTCATACAAGGATGATGAGAAACACACACACACACACACTTAAAAAAAAAAAAAACTTCTTGCGTGTGGTTAAATATTCAGATGTATTTTTATTTACACAATTAAAAATATTTATTGTTTTATTACCTGAGGCCTCATTGTAGTAGACATTTATCCTCTCCAGCTGCAGGTCACTGTCACCTTGGTAACTACCGGTGGGGTCGATGCCATGCTCATCACTAATCACCTCCCAGAACTGATGAACAGCAACAAATATACTTTTCAATTAGCCTGTTTTTTTTTTCTTTTGCAGAGTAAATATATAGATCGTGCAAAGAGTGATTTTAAAGCGTTTTCGAGAGACCTCATTTCAGTGTTGCGCATCCCATGGCATAGTATCGGGCTACTGCACTGCAGGGGCCGAACCCCACCCCACATCTTACATGCTGTATTAAACTTTATTTTTATTTTCATAACCAGACCCGGTCAGAACGACAGTTTAGTTGACTAAATAACAGTAAAATTAATATCTTGACACTTTAATTAAGTCCTTAAAGAGGTAAAAAAAAAAAAAAAAAAAAAGTATTTATACCTTTGCCCCGATCTGATTTCCACACTGTCCAGCCTGCATGTGAACGATTTCCCTCATGGTGAGCTGCGGATGTGGCCGGAGAGCTTATATTCTCGACTCAAGCTTCGTCCGATGGTCTGTCTGGCACCTTTCTTAAAATCAGCTGTATTTATGTCCTGTGCGTCGATCTGGCCAAATAAAAAGGACGCATTGCTGTCTGGATGACGTTCAGCACGGCGCAGCATCTCTTCCAGCCAATAGGAGAGCCAGGGTTTGATGCAGCGCTCTGGGTGATGCTGCTGCATCATCCTTTCCTGACATCACCTTGCCACGTGCATGGAAACGTTTGGCTTTTTTTGCTGGATTTCGACTTTTCTCCGCAGATCCCTTGGTTGATTGGTTTCTGTTTGTGCGTTTGCAGATTTATCTGGCAGGTGTATATTCATGTAAATGCAAAAGTTGTGTATTAGCAAGAGAAAGGATGTAGTTTAATGAACATGATGCTCCTATTTGAGGAATGCTAAATTAACATATAGAGCAAAACAAGTCCACTGCTACAGAATATGCGTCTAACATGACCCTTTGCTCATCCACTTCAAAATAAAAGCCCTGCAAATTCTGCTGCGTCACAGTTTTTAAAGAAAAATGCTCCATATCTAGAGGATCTGGGTTACCACAGATAATTTATTATGCCTTGATTTTTCAGCTGAATTGTATGGAATAAATATTGAGATAATTTGTTCGCATTTTTATTTTTACCTTCCAAACTTCAGACATATTTTGATCTGTTTGGGTTTTTTTTACCATATAAAGTCTAAGCAACAAGCAATTTCCGTACATTGCTGTAAGTCATTGCTGCTGTAGTTGGATGTTCTCATCTTTCCTATTTTGATGATGGTTAGGAAAATATTGATCTTTTCAAATTTATAAACACAAAGGCACAGATTATGCCTTTTTGTATTTGTTAAATACAAAAAAATGAATGAAAATAAAAAAAAAGGAAAGAAAGAGAAGAAAAAATAAATATATAAGATACTGGTGATCAGATTTCATCAATAAATAGTGGTTTATTTCAACAACATGTATGGCTTATGTACAAGTGCATTATCTCTGTTAAGATAACATCAAAATGAAATCAGACATAAATGTACAATCTATGGTTTTTGTTTTTTAGTCTTTTTACATTCATTTAAATCTCCCAACAAAGAGATGTTGAGTTGCTCAACTGAGAGACACAAAACCTGAAATGTGTGCTCTGGGTACTTCATGATTTCAGCTGGGTTTATCAGCTGGGTTCAACACTAACCCATCACTCTTTTTTTTTTTTTTTCTTTATCCACTGCTCCTTCATATTCTCTTTCCAACAATAAATGTCAGCCCTATAGAATAGTCGCTGGTGCAGTCACTGCTCTGCATTGCTTTCCTTTAACTTTGCATGTAAACAAAACAAAATAACATAGAAATAAATCAAATGTTGGAATAGGTGCATACAGTAACTCAGAACAAGCAATGTGATCTCTCCCCTCAGAGCTAAAATAGCTGCATGGTAGCATGTGAAGTAACAGATGCTGAAGGAGACAGTACCAGTGTTGTGCTGTGTTGCTGATTGTTATCTTTTTTTTTTTTTTTTTACTTACTCTGGATTTGCATTTTTCTTTCAAGTATATTAGATTTAATGTCAATGCACACCAAGAGACTTAATCAGAGAAAAACTCAGAACCAACTGAGGAATCCACCCACTCACAAACATGACATCTACTGTAAAAGTTAATGTGTGACTAGAAGTTCCTATTCTCTTCCAAATTTAAATCTGTTTTCCCTTTTAATATAAGTGTAAATATGCGAGTCTAATTTTAAACAAATTGCAGGTCTTTGTGCTTTGACGTCTAGCAGCATTGAACATGACATACACTATTTGTATATGGTATGAAACAACCACTTCTACATCTCATTTAAATCATTAATGATACAATCTGATAAATTACCATCATTAATCAATCAGCAAGCAGGCTTTTTTTTGCCTAATTTTTCCAAATACATACATTTGAGAAACACTTGAGGTTTGCTCAATCATTCCAACACTTAAAGATATGTAGCATTTTCAACAGTGAGCAAAGTGTAAGGTTTTTCACAGATCTCTCACATGATAACAGAGTATTTTATAGGTCTGGCGATGATTTAAATCCTGAATAACACCTCAACACATCCCTGGATACATGATCTACTAAATTTTATCACATTTCAGATCACAAGACATTGTCTGTCTTTAAAGTTATACAGTACGGCACAATTATTGTTATTATTATTACTAACGATTATTGTGAGGCTTGTTGTAAACAGTAGTACATCCACAGTCATACATCCCCCTGTACACAAGTATTACTACCTCAAAAGCAGGAAGTAATACAACTGTCATGTTACACACATATTTAACTCAAGTAGGCTGCAGTCCAAAGGTGGACGAAGGCTTTGGAAGGAAAAGGTGATTCCATGAGAAAGAGCCTTTTGTTTTGTTAAAATCAACAGGTTATTTTGGAAAGTGTCAATTTGTGTAGTGCAATGTATTTTTAAAGAATTGTTTTGCACGTGCATGTGCAAATATGTACCGTATGCAAGAAAACAATGCCATAATATGTTAATGCCAGAACATGATTTTGAAAACACACACATACTATACGTTATCAATGCAGCAATGATTGGCAATCGCATCAATCATTTTGGACAATTCTTTTTTTCTTTTTTTTTTCCTTTTTTTAAGGTTTAACAGTTTTGTTGACACTTTCACAATAACATTTCATGCTTTGTCCCCACTGCACAAGAATAAAGTGCCACCATATGAAGGTGCCACGAATACTGTAATAAGGATGTATAGCTCTGTACATTAAGGGCACACCAGGGAGAGTTCTGAAGAAAAAAATACTTTGGAGTTTAAAAACAAAACTGAGTTAAGCTAAAGAACTAGGTGAACCTACATGATCATGTGTATAAAAAAGAAAGAAAGCATTTGTATATCATTATTTTCATTGGGTGAAACAACTCTAAAAAAAAAAAAAGGTTGTTCCTTATCCACAAAAAATCACGTGCTAAAAAGGCAGTCTAGTTTTTCATCTAACAAATCAAATGGCAAAACATATTTTCTGGACTCATTATGCAAGTTGAGAAGAATTTGGAAACAAAAATGTGAAGTTATGCCACATTTAGATTTACATGCTGAGATGGGAAGGCCATCTTTTGTTAACTGTGACTTGCTCTGATTGCTTCAGTTGAAAGGTTGGTAAAACCTGTTAAATTTTGCAGAAAAGGAGAGAGAAATTTATTTATTTTAGTTATAATAATGATTAAAAAAAGAAAGAAAATATATATATACCTTTGGCAATAGCAATACAGTTAAAACCCTATAAACCCTAATCTGTACTCTGGAAATCTCAAATGGATTCATTAACAAAGAAGCCAGTGTTTAACTGTTACCTGACTCCCATGAAAACTCTATCTCTTTGCTTAGTATGTTTGAAAAAAAAAAAAAAAGAAAGTAAATCAACTGGAGCCATTGTCTGATGATTTCAGGGAGTTGTAAAAACAAGGTATTATTTAAACAGCATTGGATTGGCATATTCGTCCTTTTCTATGCTGATATGAAATGTTCTGGGACACAATTTTAGGGTAAAAACTCTCATTAGAACCATCAAATTATGAAGCTGAAAAGGGATTTAAAGTGTTTCTGCTTAGAACGCAGACTTAGAGCTGAGAATTCTTAAGAAATTGGCACATAAACAAACCTACTGACCCAGGATTTAACATGGCATTTCTACTCCACATTTCTTTCCAGAGTTATTCCTTGGAGCTAGGAAAAACACTGGACTGCTATGTATTTTTTTTGGCACAACATCTAGGTTCATTTTGGTTAGGGCAGCTTTTGGTATTTGTATTTGGTGAAAAAAACAAACAAACAAAAAAAAAAAACAAAGTCTCCAAATATTAATTATGTACATTGACAGCAACAATACTGCTTTGTAACATTGCAATTTCTTTGTCCATATCCAAGGCAGATTCTATTTCATTATTTTTGTTTTTTGCCTAACATACCAGTGGTATCTCTATTTGTTGTTGCCTTTTCTTTTCTTCACCAGAGTTGATGACATCTCTGAAATCATGGGTATTTTAAAGTACAGGGGTTTATTCATTTTTCTCTCTCCAATCTGTGCTTTTTCTCAAATACCGAGTACTTTATACGCTGGTGATTTCCAGTCATGTTCCTGAAGAGGATATATTGCCATTTTTGCAAGTTGCCAACCAGCCAGTGGGGCACTCTCACTTGTGTGTTCTCAGTTATTGGCCAAATTCATGATGATGCAAGGAAGGTTGAAGAAGCACTGAGAAACAAAGCAGCTCATGTAAGACAAACCTACTCCAATCCAAGTTGGAACAGTCTTCATGAAGTACCTGAAGTCTGAGTTTAGCAGTACATGCCCACCCTCCCCCAGCTCCACGCTGTTTTATGGATGTGGGTGGCTGCCTCCTGGTGCAACACATAAAGCTTCATGTTTTTTTGGCTACGACACTAAATCATGTCGACGCCATGCTATTGACAGTGTTTTCTGTGCTGGAAGTCTCCCTGTCCATGCTTGACTGGACACCAGAGTCTATAGGGGAAGACACAGTGCTGTCCATTAGAGAGACAGGAGCTGCCTCTGCTGGGTCTAAATCCAACTTGGAATTTGACTGTGCAGAATCTAAGTCTTGAGAAACGGCAGAATCTTGTACAATGTTTGTAGTTGATTCTGGAGTTGAGGTATTGACAATGTCTGTGACAGGGAGAAGAGCTGGATTTCTTGTAGTAGTGTGGACAGAGGAAAGGTCAGCTAAGGGTATGTGATCTGAGTCAGTAGGTGGAGGATGTATGTGTTTTGTTGACACAGTGTCTGAACAGGGAGGAGCAGAGGAATTTGAAGGTACATTTAGAACATTGGAGGAGGGCAGATCTAAAGGAGAGGGCCTTGAGTTTCTAATAGGAGTAAATGCAGATTCATCTATTTGTTCTAAATGTAGGGAAATATCAGAGAGTGTGGTAATGGCGGTTAAAGGTTGTGCAGGTGTGTCCAGGTCTGTCTGTGGGACAGGAGAGGGAACAGGGGGTGGAGGAAGGCTGTCATGTATAGATGGTGAAGGAAGGTCTTCCAAAATACCAGGAGATTCCTCAAATACTAATGGTTCAGGTGTTCTAATGATATCATCAATGTCATCATCTTGTGGGTTTGGAGACTCAAGTGTTGAGCTAGGACGGGGCTCGATGACAGGGGTAGTGCTAATCAATGAGGCAGTGGGCATTGTCGGAGAGATCATAGCAGTTGAAGAGTGACGGGAAACAGCAGTGGCAGGGGAATCGTCGCTTTTAGGAGAAGAAGACATCTCTATTAGTTCAAGTTGTATAATATCTAATGGTGGATCACTAGATTTCTGAACTGCCGGTAGTTCTTCTGCATCAGCCAAAAGTGGAACTGTGTTGCATGGGGTTCTGTCTGAAGGACTGGAAAATAAGAGACGATTTTTGTTAGCTTGTATGATGCTATCTTCACCCTGGGCAGATGTAGGGGCTGGCAGTGGGAATGGCGAAGAGTGGCCGCTAGGCTCTTGTATCTCAAGCTTTTCAGGTTGTTCCTTAACATTAGGAAAATCTCCAGGTGCTATAGTCAAATCGATTGCAGAAGAAGCAGTTGAGCCCATGGTTGACAGAGCAGCATTGGCTGCCTCGTGAAGTGGCGTGTCTTGTACTTTGGCGTAGTCCTTGTTGCTCCCTTGCCGAAGGAGCAGGGCATCCTGTTCTTTTTGTTTCTGTGAGTTTGACAAAGGCTGATGAGCGTTGTCCTCACCATCAAGAAGGGTCTCAGGGAGTGGTCCGTCACGCGTGTTGGGCAAAAGAGGAATACAAATGATGCAAATGAGAGTACAACAGGCAAAAATGATGTGATGAAGGAAGTAGCCTTTTTGATTGTGTAGCTCCATGATAGGTGCAGTGAGCATACCGAACCCAGCACTGGCCAGTACAAGGCCAACACCACCACCCCTAAAAAAAAAAAAGAAAAATTATCTAAAACATCAACAAATACATATTTTAAAATCTAAAGGTAAGTTATACCCTGGTTATCTTCTAAAACTCTTGCTTTTAAATGAAATCTGATATTTTTGCTATGCATCCTTCTGATCAGTTACTTTTTCAACAAGCAACAAAAAGCTGCAGGACCACTAGGCAGCCTACATTGAGCAATTGTTGCCTCTTGTGGTATTACTCAAAGCTAGCACCAGAGGGTGCTAAGGCATTTTCATTTGAGCTTCTCCTAATGACCCACATAATAGAGATCAGAACTAACACTATATAGTTATTCTAGGAGGCAAAGGATGTTGTTTAGGATATGCATAGGACATTTTAAAGTTCTTTTAAAAATGTAAAATTGTCAGGAACTCAGTCTTGTAATACAAAGATTCACCAGAAGGTTGTGCCTGTAATATATATTTGTGACTTTAGAAATAAAGATAAATCATTAAGACAGTATTATGATAAAAATAAAAAAAGGCATAAAAAAAAGAATATGAGTAAAAAGATAAAAACAGCCTTTGTTCTTGTGCAGATGTGATTTTGTATGTGAGGATCAGAGTGGATTTACCTGATCACAGTGGGAGTGATCTCGGCACAGAAGAAGATGCTCAGGTTGCTGACAGCGTGGGAGGAGAACATACCAATGATGGAGAAGGCAATTGAAAAGTTCTTATTCAGCGTACCTGACTGGTCGTCTAAAGAAGCAGGAGACACAAATGCAGCAATTAAAATCAGTACCTTATGTTATTAGTTAATAACTGATTGTGCTTTGTGTAAGAGTTTTAATGATTTTTCAAGGAGTAAAATTATCTTAATTTGTAATACAGTTGATTTCCCATGGAGCAAATTTTAGATGTTCACTATCATAAAGTTACAAATAAAAGGGGCTGACAACTACAATTGTAAGAACGAGATATTTTAGAAAGCTTTATTTCTGTACAGTTTTGTACATATTGCAATGAAATAGAGAAATAGAGAAGGAATTAAGAAAACTGAAGAATATTTTTTGTAGAAACTCTTTGATCTTCCATAAATACAACACACACAATATAAAAGTAGGGCTTTAACCTGACGGTTAGGGTTGTTCAGCATAGCATGTGGACGGCTTAAGTCCAATAAATGTCTTATTACTCAAGTACAAATAAAACCTGAAGTTTTACAGGTTGGAATTAGATGCCTTATGTTTCTTTTATGACATTTTTTCGATTGTATAAGGGGATTATAAACATCAAATGCAATTTAAAGTTAGAGAATTAAAACTTAAAAGGTTAATAATTGATCAGGCTACATGTAGGGTGTTATAAATAGGTAATGCAGATGGCATAGGTGGCATGGAGATAAGACTGCTGTGCGATCTCTTTTAGTCTCCACTGAGGTACAAAGTTGATAAAAACCAGAGTAAACAAGCACGAATAACCTTGACACGAAAAGAGTAAATCAGTAATAGGATCACCATAATGGCATCAAAATCTTTATTATGGGCTTCATTCTGCAGCACTAAGGTCAAGGAAAACACACACAGATGTTTTCTATAAACCTTGTTTATATACTTTATGATATGCTTCATGCTGTTTCACATTTGCACAATGGGAGAATTTTATTAAAAGTGTGAAAAAACAAAACTTCGACCACAGGTAGATATTTAGTGATATTTTTTTAAAGACAAGAAATAAAAAGATCCACCTACCTATATTTAGATGTTTGTCGTATTTTACAAGCACTGGGAAGACAAGATATCAATAGATAATGATCAGTGAGAAAGCAGGCAAAATCAACACAAAGACTCAAACAAGAAATTAAAACAGGCTCAGACATAAAAACTGAAATATGAACACATGTTGAGTAAAGTTTGTGAATAGTTTAACAACCCAAATGGCGCCAAATAGAACATGAGCATAACCTTGATATGTTGACACAAGTTAAACATTAGATAGCGTGTTTGTTACTGAATAAATAATGCTGTGCAGTTTGGATCTCCTGGAGGACATTACACACAAAGTGACTAAAATGTATGTAATTATTTCAGGTTATTCTACAGACCAGAGCCAATTCCTTTGTGTTTTCAAATCAAGAACAATGGCTTCATAAATCCTAATGCATAATTAATTTCTGGTCAGTGTTTGGATAATTAGTGTTGGTTTTAGGTTTTATAATTAGGTTTGAGTGTTCAGCGTCTTTGCAAATTTGAACTAAGGGGACTGAATTGGGGTTCAGATTCTTTAGGAAGCCATTTGTTTGTTTTTTTTTCTACTGTGGCTATACAGCACAAAACACAGGGAATGCTGGCAGTCTTAACTTGTTGCACAGAAAACAACCGGTAGAACTCTGGTGAAAAAGCTAACCTGATCAAAAAAAATTTAACTGGCCAGCCAGACAATGCCTTTCTGGATGAGAAGCCATGCTGCCAAGACCCACATCTGTTTCTAAGGCTGTGTCCGAACATCCATCCTAAACCCTATATAGAGCACAATATAGTGGTTACGTCATTTTAAATGTGTGTCCGAATGTCTGGTAGATGGAAAAAGTAGTGGACTTAAAATTACCCGCAATGCACCAATGCAAGTAGTGTGTATCAACGGTCACTAGACGAGCTGATATATCCCAGAATGCTTTGCAAGAACTCTCCTCGCAAAACATCGTGAGGTTTGTTTTAGGGGGCGAGACAGAACAAAGATGGAGCAGGCACCGAGCAGTCAGTTAACCGAAAGCACTACAAGATCCAATATATAGTCCCTGCTCTATATTAACGATTGAGAGGTTAGGGCGGACGTTTGGACACAGCCTATGTCTAAGAAAACAATTGTCTAATCAGATAGGACTTGGGGTAGAAAACTTCAAAAATGTGGGATGTTTTAAATATAACTGCAGCCTGGAAATCAGTTTGTGACACACAGTCTCAGTAGAGCAAGTTTTGAAAATTTCTACAGCATGTGTTTCTAATGACTCAAGCAGCGTTGTCTATGACTAACATATGTGTATCAAATTCAAACAAAGGTGAAATCTATTCATTCATTCTCTTTTAACAGAGCCAGACTTGTTTTCCTCCGCTTTAGTGCTCATTTCAAGGTTAGCTAATCCTCTATTTGTTCATGCATTTTTTTCCTTTTAGATATCTAAAAATGTTACATTATAAATAGCAAGCAAAAAGTCTTATTCATTTAAAAAAAAAATCTGAAGGCCAGAATGATGGAGTGCATGACCATTCCTGTACCTGAGATGGGTTTTCTGCCATTCTTTCAGAGTTATCTTAAGCCTCCATCCTGCTGCTTAATGCTTTCTTTACCTATTCAGTAAGTTTAGGTTTGAGGTTGTGGTGTTCTCTTTTAATTTTCAAAGAATGATTTACACATCGCTACATGAAATGCTACATTTTTATCATATTATCATATTGCTTTTCCCTTCCTGATGCTTTTCACTAAATAATCTTCTCTATGAGTCCCCTCGACACCTTTACAGAACAGTGATATAAACAGCGACACAGTTATGGAAACAAATTAATTCCTACAGCAAATGTGTGCAATATGATAGATTTAGGTGTTTCAGAGTAGAGAGTCCTGAAAACCAATGCATGTCTCATTTTCGATAGTGCATTTTTATTAAGAAATATTATATTTTCCTTTCACTTTACGTTTATACTTTCTGTTCTGAAATGCCATCGAATCCCAACAGAATGGCATGCGTTAATGGTTTCCCGTGTAGAAATAAATGTATCTTAAAAAGTATAGAGTATGAAGACTTTTGTTGAAAACTACCTATATTTAGTAAAGTAAACAGTTAAAAGTTTAAAAATAATTAGATCATTAAAAGGCGTAGCTTTACTCTTTCCTACTGTCACGTACAGAAAAAAAGAACTTTAAACAAATGATCACATATCATTGTTGAGCTGCATCAGAAAACTTTTTAGTGTAAGTAAAGTATGAGATCATGTAAATGGTGTAATACATGAATCTATTTGAGGGCATTCAACCCATCTTTAGCCAGGGTGCAAATAACTGTGGAGGAACTGCATTTTTTTTTTAAAAATATCTTAAGGTTACTCAACATTTAAAAGGATTTTATCTATAGTTAAAGCGGAACAGTGAATAATTGCAACAGATTGATGGGTTTTCTTTCTTTTTTGTGTGTGTCTGAGCTACTTACATTTTAGCAAGCCCAGCTGCAGTAGTGATGCCAGAGCGGTAATGATCATGAACATTAGAAGTCCACCACGTCGACCCATTATGCCCACTGCGGGGCACAGTGCAATGCATGATGCCACAGCTATACCCGCCATGGTGTAATAGTCTGCATAGAAGTTGTGGAACATAGTACTTTCTCCAGCCTCTGGATCGACCATGCTCCTGGCAAAGCAGTGGTGGATCCCATAGCCTGTTAGCCTGAGTAAAGAGTAAACAGAAGAGCATGCTGTTAAGAGGATGCAGTAGGAAATAACACATTTAATATCATACCCCGGACACTCTTTGTAGTTTATATATATAACGAAAAGAACAACAAAAGTAACACAAATGTAAACATTGGCTTATTGAAACGAAAGAGCAAAGCTCATACGCACTCACATTCATCCCCTTCCTCCCTCCTGGCTGTCTAATGTTTCCTACAGATAGATCTCATGTAAAATTCATGCTGACTGAGGGAGTCAGGGGCACGGCGAACTGAAATAGGGATAAAGCTACAGATGAGATCTCAGATGGAGAGATGAGCAGAGGGGAAATCCCAACAGGAAGAAAAAAAGGAAAATGCAGCCATACAGAAGACAGAGCTTAAGATCAATGCTGCATCCAACTTGCAGGTTTGTAATGGTACCCTTAAGTGCACCAAATGGAGCCCATCTGGAGCACCAGAAAACGCCCCCCCCCCCCCCCCCCCCTTCATATTTATTTACATGAGCGCCACCTTCTCCTGTCCCCCCGTCATTGTTTTCTCATCTTACATGTAGATACTTCCTGAAACATCAACATCACTTTTTGGCATGTGCATGGATATCCATCACACTTACGAATTAACGCATAAGACGACGATGTTCTTCCACAGTCTTTTTGTAACGGCCATTTTTACAATGCAAGTCCTTTTGGGTTTCTTCTGTAGAGAATTTCCTAATTCTGGGGAGAAACAAAACAGGAAATAAGTCAGAAAAAAGGAAAGGGTTCAATATTTTTAAAAGAGCTGATCTGTACATTTGAGAATACATTGAGTTGGTTAAAAACAAATTAGGAGGATGCTTGCAAAGCTGAATGCAAACCAGTTTTTTTCTCCTTTTAGTTATATTATTTTGGGCTGACTAAAATACTAATTTCATGTTAGATGATAGGATTGCTATAGGATATTTTGAAGTATTATTTTGTTGTCTTCTATAAGTAAATATTTTGAGAGCTTTAAACTGAGGTCTTGATTTTCCCATCTAACCACTTTTACCAGAATTATATGGGTTATTTCAAATAATCAACATGTTTGCTTTTTACACTTTTTTGATGTAATGGCCTCTAGCAATGCAGTGACCTGGAGAAGGACTAGAGCAAACTAAATGGGCTCAAATGTCATTGATACTCAGCTTCCGTTACCATTTAGCTCTTTTCATGTTGCAGTTAAGCAAATGTGCTAAATAAACAGTTTTTTCAAGGAGTTGGGCAATGAAAACCCCACTTGTATTTTGTATCCAACCATAGAATAACAAGTAATTGAAAAGATTACACAAATTGACTTCTGATGAACTGACAGTACAGACAAAGCTATGTCACAGTTTGGTTTTAAGCCGCTAAATGGTCTTTAAGAAGTTTGACGGTTCATCTGTCTGCTAAGATAAGTTTTTAAAACATGTTTACCTGTCTGAACATACAGTTTTAAAGTTAAAGTCTCTATTAATATATTCTAAATGAATGGTTTAATGGAATCATTTTTTTCCTTTGCACTTGTATTCATTAAAGAGCCAAGGTCTACTTTTATTTCCAGTTCAGTTTCATTATGTTTGACATTCCAAGTACTCAGGTTTCTCTTTATCTCTAAAGCATTAATTGATTAGAGCTTCATTTACATTTTGTTGTCAAGCTGGAGGTGGCAGTTATAACAATAATTAGACTTTATTAATCTCACAATGGAGAAGTTCAGCACTGCATTTAACCCATCCCTTTTGGGGAGCATGGGCTGCCATTGTGTGCCACCCAGGGAGCAGTGTGGGGTTAAGGTGGAGAGCAGGCTGTGGGGTTCAAACAACCTTCTTAGATGACAAGTGCACTGCTCTAACCACTAGTCCAACACTCCCCTGTTAATACATACCATATAATCCATCATCTTAAGCACACATTTGTTGTGCCTTTAATAAATGTCAAAGGTGTTGTAAGAAAAAACTGACAAAACAACATTTATTTCTTTGGATGAAAAAAATATGATGAATATATAACTTACAAAACAACTACATGAATAAATAATTAGACCATTTTGGCAGCCCCATGAGGAAACTATTAAGCTTAATATAAACAAGCAGACTTAGTAGAATTGTAATTTGTTTTAAATAAATTAAGTACTTTTTCCACTTCCACAGGAAGAAGACATTTTGGTGTAGATTTCTTTCCATACTTGCTGGACAAAACTAATTATAGTCGAGCTGCATAGAGATTCAGTAAGTTTGTTTGTTTTAGGAAATGTACTTTTTACGTTTAGTCATAAATAGTTTTCTGGGCTGCTCCCAGGTCCCGAAACCGCATGTATGCTTCTGGCTGGTAACGAAACTCAGATGATAAAATTGACAAAACAGATTTTTTTTTCTTTAAAAGGGACATAAATAAAATATGAACTAAAGCAAGATTTTTTTTTATGTGGACACACACACAAAGTTTCATACTAATATATCAGTTTCATACTAATATAAAACTGACATTCGTCTAATAACAAAGCCAGAAAATATTCAGCGTGTTGAAGTGTGGAATGAGTGATGAAGGTACTCTCAGTAAAACAGGTTTCTGGCAAAGCAACACACCCTGTACAGCAGGTAACGTATGACACAACACAGAGTTGATGTTTTGGTATCATGACTGAGGTTGCCATAGAAACACAACTCTGATATATAGCACCACACTTTCATGTTGACTCAGAAACAGGTCAGCATTTCCAACAAGGCTAGTCAGACTGACTTACATAGGGTGTAAGGCAGTCTGGTAAAGCTCGATACTCTTAATCACAGAGTGGGAGGCAAGCCCATAATGCAAAAGCCCCTTTTTTTTGCCAACATAACAGCTAAGATTGCAGCTGCAATGGAGAAATGTTTTATTAAAGCCCTGTGTTATGTCCAAAAAGGGCTGTTTAAGTTGTTGAAGTTCCTTTTATATGTTCTTTTTTTTTAACTCTGCAGTTTTCTAGCTGGTTCTAAAAGGTTTCTGCTGTCCAAGTTTAGTGGTCCAAATTTCAAAATCACGTTTCTTTCCAGATATGCAGTGTATATGGTGTAAATTATTCTGGCTGGTCAGGCTACCGCACTCCAAAAAGCCCTCTTGTAACCAGTCTCTGACCGCAGCCCCTTAAGCCAGTGTTTCCCTGGCCAGGGAAGGTTATTCCTGCTCACATCCCAGCCAATCATAGAGGGGCTTCTCCAAACTGGGTAAATAATGAAAATGCAATCGTTGGTCTTGACAATGAGCTGGAATTCTACCACTGTTGGGATACCCTCCTCAAACTGAGATATGAAAAATGAAAGCATTTGATAGCATCTTTTCTGCTGCATCAGCTCACATCCAATTAATTAACAAAAACTAAAGAAAAAAAGTGCCTTTTTCACAATTAATAGTTCCTGTTTTGGCTTTTTCGGTAATGAAGCTACTTCTGTTTTCAAAACCTTCTGATTTTTAAAGAAATCTATTACAAGGCAAAAACTACAAACACTTGACACAAATGCACTATGCCATGGCATTAGCACAGCTCAGTCGTCCCTGGATCACATTAGTCCCTTGAGAACAGGCAATGTACTCAGAGGTCAACATGTCTGAACTGCCCCCATCTGCCATCTGACCATTTGCCTCAACTCATGCTCACTTTTTCTAGCTATAATAAAATTAACAAACACTCGAGAGTGTCACACTGTAATGGTCAGCCCCACTGCCACCCCTCTCGTGGCATGTTACTATGGCAACAAGACAGAAAATCTATATCACCTTGTCAATTTGTCTAATTTAGCAAAGCAAAAAGAAAAAACGGGTGTTTTTAAGACAGACTGAACAGCCTGGCAGATGATGATGAATGAAATGAATCATCTAAATGTTAAGTCGATTCTTTTAGAAAAATAGAAATATATTCTCAACATATGAGGGGTTGCTTGCAAAGTGTATTCCTGCTTTTGTATGTTTTGTATTCTTTTTTTCTTATTCCATAAAATGAAACTCCTGTATCAATTAATCTCACAAAAAAGATATTCTTTTAATGCTGTTTTTTTAATGCCAAAACCAAGACATATATAATTAAACCACTATATCATGACAATGACTAAGGTTAGAGTGGCGGCTTAATGGGGCTGACAATTAATACAGTGATAACAATTATTATTTTAAATCATTCCTTAACAAATAAAACTTAAATAGCATCTTGCCTGGGTTAAGGAAAAGAAAGCAACACAATGGTGGCACCTTGCCTGATAAGCCAGTAAAGTTGCCTGAACTCTATGGAGTAAGTATAATGTATTAATAGAGGGAAGATAATACATATACTGTAGGAATTAATAATTTGGAGAAGGTAAAAGCTGCTTTGTGATCATCCTGACCAACATTAATACCTGAGAGGAGCCTCTGGCAGATTGCCATACCACATTGCATTAATGCATTACCTCATGCAAGAAAGCCCAAATCAAATATTGAGTGCATATACAGCACATTGACACACTTTTTCAGTTGACCAATATCTTAACTAATCTAAAATATTTTATCCTTCTATGTAATATGCATTAATACAACCTTCAATGCATCCATCGTTAGAAATGACCTGATGTAACATGCATTATTCTAATTGATTTGTTGCTGTTCATTAGCTTTAAGCCATTATAACCAAAATGAATATTATATGCTTTATATATATATATATATATATATATATATATATATATATATATATATATATTCAAACTGTGTAATTAATCTTAACATAAGTTACAATGTAAAAATTGAAATACCTAAATAAGCTACCTATATACAGACTGCACAAATAGACAAATCATATCCATATATTAATCTGTTTGGTTCATTACTTGTGAGGATGCTTTCGTGATCAATTTCAGTGATCGCTTTATTCTTCTTTGCTATGTGTGCCATGATCCATCTGGAACGGCTGTATTGCTGGGTTGCCATCAGCCAGCGCAGCGACTCAGGAAATATCCTTTAAAAAAGGTAAAAAACATCTTTTGTTATGAAAGAACATAAAAAGGTTGATGAAATAAAATAAAAAATCTGTTTGTTTGAAACACTGGTTGTAATGTCATTATGCAATCTACTTCAGTTTAACCACAACCAGCTGCCTTTCAGCGACACAGAATAATCTACCTACAGGCGGAGCTTTAAGTACGGTTGTCAGACAGATGTACTTAAGGTTGCAGCTTTTGTCATCTGATATGCTTCATAAAATCATATTTGTGTTATTATACAGGATGTTGCATACATTCATACAAGTAGTTTCATGTCTGGCAGCAGAACAATTGCATTTAAAAAAAAAATGCCAGTAAATTTAAGACACTGCCATAATTTGAATGGATCTACTTTCAGGACTTGAATATGCTCAGGAGGCGGAGCATACTGCAATAACTTCTATTGGCCATGTTCCATTTTTCACCGGAGTGCTTTTAAATAATTTGCTTTGCAAATTCTTGCAGTGTAGTACAGCAATCATTTAGATCAACACAGGTCTCACATGGCAGAGAAGCATATCTTTGGAATTGCTATTGCTGGATTTGTGTGAACAGTTGTCTAAACTTGTAAAGCCCAGCTTTAATCTTTCTGCCCTATTTTGATTAACTGTTTGCACAAACACAGCCCTGTTTAGCCAACAGATAAAGTATTAGTTAATTTGCAGAGATGTAAACCAACAAAGAAAGAAAACCCTACCTAACAACTTAAGACTGACCTGTTAAAAATGTATTTGCTTTCTTGTTTTTATTTATATCTGAGAAAAATATATGTTTATTAAATTGTACTAAAACTACAAGAAAGAAAAAAAACTTTATGTTCAAACATAAAAATATCAACAATAATCTGTCTTCTATCCAAGAAGGAAGACACCAAAGATCTCTTCCCACTGCCAATGTACCACTCTCTCTGTGCCACACAGCACATTTTCTACAAAAGTTTTATTTCCTGGCAGATACATATATCGTGCTTCAAATCCCCCAGATCTGGGTTTTGACTTACCTAATTCAGAACTTTTCGGTTCTATATATTTAGCCTGTTCTTTTGTGATCTTACTCCTATCTTATAGGATATTTAAAGCATAACCAAACCATCATACTTCCTGGAATGCTGTATTTCGCTTAATCAAGATGTGACCTTTGTTCTAGTTCCCAAATCATTTCTACTCATCTGTGTTGTTGTGGTCTTTTTTTCTCTCTGAAAAACTCTAATATGGCCTTTATTGCATTGAAAACATTTTTTTAATTGAGCAAGTGTTTTCTGCGTGCACACCTCCAATGCAAGTTAAAGTTAAGGCGTCCCTTTCTGAATGGATCTGTTTGAGGCCTTAAGATGTTGTTTTAAGGCCTCAAATAATTTTTTTTTTATTTCAGCATGATAAGCATTCTCACTTTAACAGTCAGTAGGAAGGCATAATAAATGTCAGTGATTTACACAAGACTAAATCCTTTCAAATATGAGAGGTAACATGTTAATAGGAAACCTATCAGCTTTTAAGTCCAGCTGATGGGTGGGAATAAATCAAGGCCACATACTTTCATATGGTGTCCAGGTTTTTTCCCCCATGACAGAGTCACGCAATTGCTGGCACTTTATGCAATTCCAGAGGAGTTTCAAAAACATTTTCAAACGAAACAAAGCTGTAAAACAGTGGCCATGGTCAGGTATGTCTAAGATCTCATTTCCCTAATGGGAATCCCCATAACTTAAACTGTTTTACAGCTATGCACGTTTCTTATATGAATATCACAGAAGTGATTAGGTTTGAATTTAGTGGGACCATCTACACGCAATGATATGTGACATTAATGGCACCATCAATGTAGAAATATGACAGCATTTTATCTTTGACATATTAATCGTCTCCCCACAACTTCCCTTGCCAGTGAAAAGGAAGCTACAGTGCCCATGTGACATTGCTCCCTAAATAAAGATAAGATTATGTGTTGTAGACTATAGTAAAAAGAGAGGGAAAAAAACAGTGATAAAATCAGCAAATATATTTTACTTCTATCAATGTATGCAGTGCAAAAAAATAGCAAACATTACATTTTGCCTTTTTATTGTTAAATTATTGCATTTGTTTGATCGGTATGACTGTATGGTAAATACTGTGGTAAAACACACATACACCCAGACACAAAAGCAAAAAAATAAACAGATATCTTTGTGCTATTCTGGAGCATATTGCTTTTTTCCCCTTTTTTCTTACCAAATGTAGGACAGCATAAGCAGCAGGGGACAGATGATGACAGCTTGAAGTACCTGCCAGTCGCGACAGAGGTACGCCACCCCAGGCATGAGGAGCTGACCGCCCAAAACCACAAAGCTGGCCACCATGGTCATGGAAAAGCGCCATCTTGGCATGCACAACTCAATTCCTGAGGGGAGAACAAAAAAAGTTAGGTAGGATCATTTTTATTTCAAATTGATGATGGGTTTTCTGATCATATGTAATGTGCATGCATGTAGCACATAAATATAGATAACTTGCATGATCAACTGAATAAGATTATGTACCGCTGCACTTCTACCCCATCACACTTCTATGCTGTAAATAAACTACATGACTAAAAGCATACATTTTTGTTACAATGGTTCCGCACAATATGATCTGCAATTTTATGAATTAAAGATTTCCTAAATAAATGATATGATAGTAGAAATATCAAAACCTATTCTGAGAAAAATAAAAGTGCCTGCAATTAATCTTGCCAACAAAATCTGACAAAGCCTGCAAACACTGTATAGTAAATACTGAAAAAGACCAAACATTTTTTTTTTGCAATAAAAAAATGAAAATATAGCTGAACATGTATTACAGCAACTCATTATACTGAGTTTATCCTATAGCAGTAATGTTAACTTTAATTCAAAGCTTTTACTCTCATGCAAACATGGTTATGATCGGACTTGCAATTCTCTCATGAATTTTAGAACATTTGACATTAAAAGGACCTTATTATTCATGGTGCAAACACAAAGACTATCAATTTGTTTAATTAGCCAACAAGACAGAACACACCTAACAAGGTGAGGCTGACAGGCCAGAGCAAGATACTACACAGTAATGCACAAAGAGATTTTTTGATTTTATAACATCTAAAGCGACCCATATCAGCAACGAATTCACAGCAAAATACTTGTACAAATAAAAAATTAAGGACTTATTTTGTGCTGAATGAAAACACGTTAAGGCTACAAAAGTTTAGTTTCCTGTTCAAATTGTTAAATATTTGGCTGTCATTACAAAACAATCACAAAAATTCATAGTATAATTGAAATGGACCAAGTGTATTTGTATAGGAGCTGCAGATAAACAAAAATAGAACACTTTTGTGAGGGTGCAGTAACAAGAAAGGGGTTCCTTATACTCCTTTCTCCACAATCAGAATGCAGCTGATTCACTCACCCAGTCATTAGCATGCAAACCACACTGGCAGCTAGCAACCCTAGACACTCCAGCCCTTTATTTACTGCAGTAGAGAAGACAGGTTCACATTAAACCATTCCAAATCCAAGCAAATCTATTGTTGCAATTCTCACTAAATATTTCCTTTCTTCATTTCTCTTATTTTTCCCTGACAGATGACTTTCTTTCCTAATGGGTTTCCTGTGCTGCCAAGAAACACTCCTAAAATGGGCCTTTCAAGGTGACAGGGCCAGGATAATACAGTTGGTGTTGTCAGGCCCAACTTCATTCCAGTGGGAAAGAGTGGAATTTCAATTAGGATTTGCCCCCTCTGAGGACACAAATAATGCTCTCTGTTCACAGACACGATCACAGCTGGAATGACAACGCCAATGAATAAAGAGCAGGGCAATGGGTACAAGACCCACTGGGTGTGAACCAAGTAACCTCAAGACTCCCACTCTGTGTGCCTTTGTGAGAAACATCCCAGTTCACTGGTTATGGGACTCTGAATTCCTTGTATCAGAAGTGAAGTGTGCTGTACAGTCCACTGATTTTTGAAAGGTTTACCTTGTTCCAAAGTGGGAAAACTTTCTGGTGCCCTAAATGGGTTCAACAACTTACTGTTAACAATTTCTTGTCATTTTCAGGTTTTATTTTGTCACCTATTTATATAACCGAGCTAGAATGAAACAGCAAATGATAACCATAGCTTGTAAAAAGGAGCCCAGAGCTTCTTACTCTCTGACCCTAATCTTCTAGCAAATAACTAGCTCAGCATTCCCCAACGCTCCGCTGCTTCTACTTACCCAATAACATAAATCTACCGATAACTAATCTGAAGCTACAGATAATAATGGTCCAAAGTTACAAAGCAAGAGAGCATATAGGCACACAGCAAGTTAAATATTTAACCTGACTATACATTTGTAGGGATGTAGAAAACTTTGAATGTAGAAATAACATCTTGAGCAATCAGGCCAAAAGCCAATTAGTAACACTAATAATCCCCAAAGGAGCTTTGGCTGGTTTGCTGACTCGGGCAATTCAAGAGTATGAGCTACACTCTGTGAAACTATCCGGTCTACATTCAAAAGAGGCATAATTAGAAAGGTCCAATGTTTTACATGTGGAAGAAGTTGTTTTACCACTAAAGGTACACCGAGCAGTCACTCTTTTCATCTTCCACTGATCACATAGTTTATATAACACCATGTTATGGGTTCTCTATCAAATCAAGCCACTGACTTGACTTTCGCTATGTCCTTCCATGCCTATGATAAAGAGATGGTCATGTGAAAGGCTCATCTAGGATTTATGAACCATAACAATCATATCAACCTTACAGTTCTGGTGATTTAGTTTAAATTACACATAAAATGTGCCACATCTATCTACTCATTAAATGACGCTTATGAAGTTAGATAAAAGGCAAATTGCCTCATTGGTATAAATAGTTGAGTGAGCATACATTTTGCTCCTAAAATCACAAATAAAAGGAAATACTCATACAGTATGCAAAATGTTGGAAAGACAATCAAACACTCTGTAAGTGGCTATTCCTTTATTTCAGGTGAACAATGCTGCACAACTTGGGCCTGCAATTAAAAAGACATTACGTTCTACCGTCTAAATATAATTTGAAATAAAAAAGCCGAAATACAGATAGAGCTTTTATTACTTCACCTATAATGACTTAATGGGTGTGATACCACATGTAGATTCATAGTAGGAAGCGGGGTGTCTGGGGTCAGTGTTTTACTACCATCATTTACACAACAGGAACCAAGGCCAATATCAGATGGAGAAAACACGCAGCACAAAACAGAGAGGTATTATTTTCTAAAGCAGACGCAGCACAACGTTCAAATCTGGCCATTTATTTTAAATTATGACACATTGTGAAAATCATGTTTTATAGTGGATATATTTAAATTAAAGAATAAATTCAGTTGAACTCTGAAATATTAAACTAATAAAATAAAGTTTTATTCTTTTTTTTAGTCTGAAGTTAAGGCTGGGGGAGTAGGATTCGATTCAGAGCTATTTTTAGAGACCTAAACAAGTTATGTTACAATGTTTTACAGCATATATGTTCTAAGACACAAGCCAAAACAGTTACTTTCATCTTGATTTTATAATTTAAATCTACAACCAAATAGATATGCGAACATATGTAGTTTTTCTATAAAAAACATCTCTAACTTACATGTAGTTTTATTTCAGCCTCAGAGTGTAATCACTCGTTATAGCTCTAAAACACTGGACTATAAACCTGACTTGACCTTTGTCCCTTCTCACTTCAGCTGGATCACTTGCAAAAGATTAGTCACTACATAGTAAGACGACAAACAAACAAAACAAATAAAAATCTATTTAATTCATGCAGAACTTGGTCCAAATGAGCACCTGATGCAAGACTTTGAGTGAGGGCTCATGAAACTCAGGTTGGCACTACTTAAAATCTGCATTAACACATTTTTAACTGACTTGGATTAAAAATCTCCATTATAGAAGGATTCAATCTGACCATATTGGGTTCCTCTATGAGGAGGAAAGTCCCATTTACAAAGTGTGGGATGAATCTATTGCTATAGTGATCCCAATGAAAGTTGCAAAGTAACATTTCACTGTTGTATTTATGGCAGTTGTGGTCTTCTTTATGGTTATGAAAAAAGAAATGCTATAAAACAAGCTGATGATGAAAGTTGGATTTAACACCATTAAGTACTTACTGGATTACTGGTGCCATGCTCAGCTGTTGTATACACTCCTGGCTGTCTTGGTCCTTGTAGAGGTCAAATCACTTTGGTGATACTATTCAAATCAGGTTACTGTACTGTAACACTGCCTTTAGAGTGCCTAGGCGTTTAAACACAGGGTCTGTTTTTTGTTGTTTTTTTATTTTACGCACAAACCAGGATGACTTTATCTGGTGAATCAAACTGTACCATTTTGCTGTGCATTTTACCAAAAACTCTGCATCTTGTTAAATGGCAAAGTAGGGCTACAACTAGGAATTATAAGGTGGATTAATAAAATGTGAAGGTTTTTTTGTTTGTTTGTTTTTTTTGCTTGTTGAAATAATCAAATAGCAAAAGGCGCAAATATTACATTTCGTTTTTTATATACCTAAACCTAGCTTTTTTAAGAATTCTGAATACAAGATTTTTTATATAAGGATTTTCCATCTCAAATGCAAAAGGTCCATGTATTTATGTAGAGTTTTGTCTGAATTACTACTGCTCTGAACGGATATGTTTTTTTTAACAAACATGCCAATAAGTATGTACTCTAGTTAAGGAGAATCCGATTTCTAAATAGTTGAAAAGTATTTCAGTGATTGAAAAATCACAATTAAACTGATTCATTGTTTCAGACCTATTACAAAGCATCAAAACTACGTTTATCTGTGTATCAAAGTCCTTCCTCTGAATGTCAGATCTATAATGCACTGTTACTAAACAGTGCTTCTGTGAATAGGACCCAATAAACTTTGACCAGAGTATCTGAAGCAATGGGGAACGTTTAAGCAACACAAGGGATTCAAATCAAGCAACATGAAAGAGTGCACAGCACAATTCCAACATGGTCAGTCATGTGTACAGGACACACTGCTTTTAATCATACACTTCTTGTTTCAATGGAACATACCTGACAGATCTTGGCACAAAACAACTGGACTAGTGGAGCATGAAAGTCATTGTGCTTTATGACAGATCACCTGTGCAACATTCTTTAATATAGCTGAATTTTTCACCTTTGTCAGCTGTGATAACCACATATTTAGACATATATCCATGGGACGCTCTTGTACATTTTACACTGTTCAAGACATACTCTACTTTTATCTCAAAACATGTATAAATCAAAAGAAATAAACAAAATCAGTTAGGATTTTAACAACTGTGATTTGAAAATGCAATTAAAATAATATGGAAATGGTTCTGCAACGGGTTGCCTGGGAGT